GTACTATTTTCACTCCATTTTGTTGCTGTTGTCTTTTCCCTTTGTTCTATTTCTTCTTTCACAACATCACTAACAAAGAAATATGTTTTACATGACTTGCACATACATAACCTATACTGAACTGCTTACCATTTTAGGGAGGAGGGAGGAAGAAATTTGAAACTCAAAATTTTATTTTAAAAAAGAATGTTCAAAATTTTCTTTATATATGATTGGAAAAATAAATCGCTATTTTTTAAAAAGTACCTCATGATAACAGCTATCTACACTTCACAATTTCACTCGAATACCATTTAGATTTATGTATAATGAGTAAACTCACTTCATAACAAGATCCTTTGAGTATTTCAGCAAATAAACTCCTTTGGATGAAACTCAAGAAGGATCTATGTTACACTGAGTTTTGTTTTTGATTTTTAATTTAAGCCAGGCTTGTGGTTTCACAGCTATAAGGAATTCCCCAAAATGAAACTTCCTATACTATTGCAAATCATTGTGATTCGTAGAAAGTTGTGCCTGGCGTACTAAGAGACTAAGTTATTTGCTCTGAGTCATACAGCTAAATAGGTGTTACAGGCAGGGCTTGAACTCGGGTCTTCCCGATTCTGAGACGTGAGGCTGCTCCTCTGTGTTCTATCCAATCCTTAAAGTTCTTTCCTCTGTCTTTTCTCTTTCCATCACAGGGGTCTCTTCACACCAGGGAGTTCTTGCTACTACTTTTAAGTCTCATGCTGAAGCAATTTATCGCCATCACCATCTTCCTTCTACTATTTCTCTTATTTCTTTGTCTCTTCTGTCATTTTCTGCCATGTCCCCAGGTTTCTCAGCGTTCCTATGAAAAGGCTGACCTTTTGGGGAAATCATCAGCCAAACACTGCTTCCCACTGTGAAAACATCAATCCCAATGGGACATGAGGTCAGGAATAATGGACAGGAATGAGCCGCAGGGGAAAGGAATGATCACTACCTTTGCAGTGATGATAGACCATTTCTAAGTGAACCCTGGTGACAAAAGTATGAATGACCTATCTCTGATGATCAAGGAGGACTTTGTACTGTGATATGAGAAGACACAGAGCACCCACCCGAGCTTGGCCAACACATCTAAGCAGAATAAGAGAGCTCCAACCAGGTGGGTTAGTTTCAACAAGGGCAATTTGTCTTGGCAACTCAGCTACCAGCATCCTCCTTCATATACACACTGGCAGTGAGGAAGACCTCACTCAGGAAAACCTGAGTTCAAATTTAGCCTAGAACCTGTTCAAGACCACAAAGCAGCCAGAAGCCTGACCACAAGTGGGGTGTTTCTTTTCCACCCTCCTTCAGGCCCTCTGTCCTCTGAATCTATCTGGGATGCTTGATGGTTCACAAGGCTTGGATGAGGTGGAAGTCACCAACTCCATTCCTTCCCATGAGCTAGAAGACTATCAGATCTTATTGTCTGCCATGCCACTGCTTCCTAAGATCCTTCAGGCCTTACCATGTGCCCTGATTCTATACCCTCCAGACACCTGGATGGCTCTGCCATCTGGCTTACTGAAGTGACCCAAGGAGCCCAGGACTTTGTCATCAGCTTCTCCAAAGAACACTTAGAACTTTCAAGCTTTTCCATCTGCCCTGAAGCTAAACTTTCTTTTCTCTGTTCTCTTCCCTTCACCCGTCCCTTCTCCTCCCTCCCATTAAAATGAAAGTTGCCTACAAGCAGGGATTGTCTCTCTTTTTCTATTTGTATCTCTAGAACTTAGCACAATGTTTAGCACACTACTGTTTGTCCTTCATTCTCAAAGAGGACCATGATATCAGGGAGGTGATACCATGACATGCAAGTGAATTGGATTTAAATGACGGAGAGCTGGGCAAAGTCATCAGTCTCACTTTCTCCTCAGGAGTCATCTGGGTCCAATGGCCAGATTCATATCAGGACAACTAGAGAGGACCCAGGATGAAGTATCGGACATTGGCTTTTTCAAGCTAAGGTCTTTAACAGGACTCAGTTTGTCAGCATCCATTCAGTGATTAAGGCTTAATAAAAAAAAAAATGAGGCAAAGAATGGCCTCTTCCAAAAAAAAAAAAAAAGATCTTTAAAAAAATAGCGATTGTTATTTACATTCATTAAGAGCCAATCAGGGCCAAACATTGACCAAGTAGGGCTTGGTCTGGGACAGAGTGATATGGGGTTAAGGCTGGTCTTTGAGAGAAAAAAATGAAAACAAGAAAAAAAGTTTCAGATAGCTAAGTGCCTGTCATTCATTCATCATCTAGTTCAATCTTATCACTTTACAGATGAGGATATGAAACTTAAGAAGGTTACACAGATGATTATGATGAGAGCATTTTAAAGTTTACAAAGTGCTTTACAAATATCATCTCATTTTATCTTCACAACAACCCTTGAAGGTAGGTGCTATTATTAAATCCATTTTATAGACAAGAAAACTGACCTAGGCAAGAGGTTAAGTGATTTGCCCAGCATCAAACTGGATTTGAACTTGGGTCTCCAGTATAGTACTCCAGGTCCAGTACTCTATCCACTGCACCTTCAGTTGCATCCAGAGTGGTAAGCTTGGGGTCTTAGAGAATTAACTGATATGCTGAGAGACATTTATAGCATACTAGTATGTTAATACCTAATTGTTAACTTGTGATCCATCTTTTCCCTTTTATTTCTAAAACTCAGCTCCTAGCCCCCAAGGTACATGCTCCTTTACTAGGTTGGGCAGGACCCCACCCAAATGAGAAACCTAATTTCTGCTTAGAGTATACACAGAAGCTAATTGAGATGAGCCCTTACTCTGGGGAAAGGAACTCCAGTCCTAGATCCTCTCCATTAGGGTGTAGGGTGATCCAACTCATAAAGAAAAGGCTATCCAAAGAGGACCCAATGGAAAGGGCTTCCCCTTCCCAGACTGCTGGAGGCTGTTGAATCTCATGATCAAGCCACATTCTCAGCAGGAGGAGCTGAAGACTTTTAACCCACCTCCTCATTAAATGTCCATCAATCAGGGCTGAGTTTCACTTGGCGGGTTGTCCAATATGAAGTAGAAAGACATACCTGTGCCTATCAGAAGGTACACACCTAATTTATGGTATTTCAGAGTCTCTCTTAGACAGGCAGCTAGGTGGCGCAGTAGAGTCCTGGCCTTGGAGTCAGGAGGACCTGGTTCAAATCCAGCCTCAGACACTTGACACTTACTAGCTGTGTGACCTGGGAAAGTCACTTTACCCTGATTGCCTTACAAACAACAACAACAACAACAACAAAAAATAACACAGAGTCTCTCTTGCCATCATTGGTTACTAAGAGAAACCACTGTCTATCAAATTATTGATTATAGACTAACCTAATTAATAAAATGATTATTAATTACCTGAAAACTTTGTCTCTTGGGGATTTTATTTGCAAAACCAAAAGATCTGGTCTTGACTTAAGTCCTGACTTGCCCAAGGTCACACAACCAATATGGGCAAAAGGCAAGACTTGAAACTCCACTTTCCTTTTTTTTGTTTTTTTTTTGAAATTGTTGTTGTTGTTGTTGGTTTTTGTTTGGGTTTTTTTGTGAGGCAATTAGGATTAAGTGACTTGCCCAGGGTCACACAGCTAGTAAGCATCAAGTGTCTGGTCTGAGACTGGATTTGAACTCAGGCCCTCCTGACTCCAAGGCCAGTGTTCTATCCACTGTGCCACCTAGCTGCCCTGAAACTCCACTTTCTTGACTCCAAGGTTGACCCTCTCTCCATTCCTCTATACCATGCTGCTTCTCTTCTGGAGTATATCATCTAGAAAATGTATAATTAGAAAAGGAGGCAAACTGGGTGATTGTGTAGCAGAAGAGAAAAATAGCAGATGAACTCCATGAGAGCTTTACCAAGCACAGAAACACCTAGAGGAAAGCCTGCAGAACCCTAGACAGATCCTTTACAGAGGACTGACAGGAGTAGCGAAAGAATCACACTAAACGAGAGTACACGGATGGATGGTAGCCTGCATCTAGGGAGGGAATAGCCTCAGTGACCCATTAAGTATGAAATCGCCAGTAGTGGACTATAGAAGGAATATAGCAGACAAAACCAGTAAAGGTGTTAATGAGCAGGGCTGATGTCCAGCTGTTTAAATCCAATTCTGCGATCTTATTATGGTATTTTAAGGAATTTAAAAAAAAAAACTAAAAAATCTTCCAGATTCAACATATCAATAGCAGCAATAAGAACAGAAGTGTTAAAATATTCCTTACAAAAATAATTTTTAAATTCTAAAAAAATATTCTCATAAAATTTGGTGGTGGTTTCCACTCACTGAGTTAAGATATTAGTTAATTGTTGGTGAACACAACTCAAAATATGCTTTTATTTCAAAAGCTACCTTCCGCAGGAAGTCTTTCCCAAGCCCCTGAACAGCTAGCATATTCCTCCTCTAGGGTTACCTACCATCCACTCCATACGTATCATATATCCCTGTTTATGTGTACGTTATGCCCCTTACTAGAAAGTATTCTCCTTGAGCACAAAAGGGACTCAGAGCTCAGCACAATGACTTTCACACAGTAAGTGCCTAATAAATGCTTGCTGATGAATTACTTTCCTCTTTCTCTAGGTCTAATGTAAGGCACACTAATTTTAACATAACTTTGAATAGCAAAAAGTGTTACCTAAGTAATAACAACAATAACTGCTAAATATAGAGTGCTTTAAGTTTGCAATGAGTTTCCCATACTATACAAGACCTCATTTGAAGCTTACAACTTTATGAGACAGGTACTATAGGTACTATTATTCCTATTTAAAGCAAGAGGAACCTGAGATACAGAGAAGCTAAGTCACTTGACAGAGATAATAAGCATCAGAGCAGGATGGAAACTCAGGTCTTCCTAGCCCCAGATCCAACTTGAAATGTACTATGCTACATTACCTTTCTAATTCGATCTCATATACTGGAGATTATTTGACTCAGGTTCAAGGCAATCTATTTTTCAAATTTCTCAATTCACATTTGATACAATACCTGTCCTGTGTATGCAAACTCCAGAGCTTGCTTTAAGCCAAGGCTAGTCACCCCATGTAAATTTACTTCATCAGCTCCACTTTCCACCATACATAGACTGAACATTGCCTGAGGGGAAAAAGAGAGAAGGCAATAGAGAGAGTTATAACATTCAAAATGGTGAGAAGGGAGGCAAAAGGAGACAATACACAGTGAAAATGGTACAAAAGTTAGAGGTACTGGATGCATTTCCAAAGGCAACAGAATGATAGGGATAGGCAAACTGGCAAAGTATCTTACGCAGACTTACAGGGCCAGGACTGAACACAAATCTTCAGACTCGAAATTTACCATTCTTTTGATTGTGTTATACTGTTTCTACAAGGACAGTATGCATTATTTGTACAGATTATAAGTATTTATTTAGGTATGTATACACATGAGGTGTCATGGTCTAATCAACAGACAGCTGTCTTCCAAGCCAGGAACATGTTCTGCCTTTGATACAAACTGGCTATGTGACCTTGGACAAGTCACTTAACTATGAATATAAAGCCCGAAGTTGAAGAGAGACCTGCCATTAGTAGAATGGATATTCTTACCAAGGGGTTTCTTATATCAGGGAAATCACTAAATCTAGTCTGTCTGTCTGTCTCTCTCTCTCTCTCTCGATCTCTCTCTCTCTCTCTCTCTCTCTCTCTCTCTCTCTCTCTCATTTTTAAGTTTGATTTTCTTTTTATAAATAATTTTGTTCTCATTGTTCACAGGCATAAATTGTAGTATGTATGAGGAGACAGATGGCCCCGAGAGGTTTTGTATTTCATAAACTATCTACACTAGGACTCCGCAGTTTTGGATGGTGAGTTAAAGGATTTCCCTGAAGGCTACTGAGTCAATTTAATTTTCTTTTTTTTTTTTGCTTTTTAGTGAGGCAGTCAGGGTTAAGTGACTTGCCCATGATCACACAGCTAGTAAGTGCAATTTAATTTTTATAAATGATTTCTTTTCTCTCTCAAGCAAAACCCTAATACTTGAACTTGGGGCTCAATTAGGATTTCCTAAGAAGAATGAAATGACGAGAGTGATGGTGCCTCTGGCAAAACTCTACCTCTTTACCGAAAGGGAGCCACAGACAGGAGTAGATGAGAAAATTCCCAGTAGGCAGGGTCTGTAAGGATTATGACCGAAACTTTTTCTAGTTGAGAAGGGAAAAGCAAAAGGGACAGAATCATTCTTTCTACTTCACAACCCCACTCCCCACTTTCCCCAACTTCAAAGTGATACCTAGTGTTATATAAATGTGTATGTGTGTATAACATTATAATATATAGTATACACACATATACATATATATTTACAATATAAAGTTGTAAATCCTTTCTAGTATTCTTTTTAAAATTTCTTAAAACTTCAAAATAGTTTGTTCTTACATGAATCACTAAAACATATCATCTTTTCAGAATTTCCTCTATCTGAAACTCAGTCAATCAACAAGCGTGCATTAAGCACCAACTACATAGTAGGTTTTGTGTTACCTTAGGCAGGCAAGGAGAGCTAGCATGTGTATGCTCAACACTGGGGAAACAGTAAAAGACAGCCCCTGCTCTAAGGGAACTTATAACCTAACAGGGAGAAACCTTGCAAACAACTACGTACAAACAAGTTCTGGACAAGGATTCGCCAGAAATCATCAACAGAGAGAAGGCACTAGAATTAAGGGTGATGGAGAAAGGCTTCCTCTTGGAGGTAGGACTTTAGCGGGTATCTGACAACCATGGAAACCAGAAGGTAGAGGTGAAAAGAGACAACATTCCAGGTATGAGGGAAAACCAGTAAAAATGCTTCGAGTTTCACCGAATTAAACAATTCATAATCCCTATTCTGGGCCTAGAGACCAAGAAGGTATAAAATACAAAGAAAAATCTAAAACATAAGAAAATGTTAATATTCCCTATTCCCTAAAATATCAATATTGCTTATTCTCAACATATAAGCCAAGAGGATATGAAACAGAAAATAGTCTATTCCTTAGGAAAATATCCATAGCAATACTCTTTGTGGAAGCAAAAAAATTCTGAACACAAAATGGGTGCCCAATGACTGGGAACAGATGATAACAGATTCTCCTGTCTTTTTGGTAGACAAGTAAGGTACCTTGTAGCATGTACTGTCATACCCAAAGATTATAGATTTAGAGCTGGAAGGGACTTTAAAGGATATCTAGTTCAATCCCCTCATTTGACATATGAAGACACTGAGGGATAGCGAAGGTAAGTGACTTGCTCAAAGTCATAGAGGATAAGCGCTATTATTTGAAGTTGGGTCCTTTGAAAGTTCCACATTCTTCCACTATGCCATATTGCTTCTTTGGCTGAGCTCTGCTTAAATGATCTTTCTTTCTAACAAGGGAAGCTTTAGTGGCAAAGCAAGAATATTAGGAAATGACTAGTATAAGGTAAAAAGAAGCATCAACAAAACTTTTTTTAAAATTTTCTCTGCTCATTTATAACAATTAAAGAGATATGGAATCATTATTTTAAGAAATATATTTTCATATTTGTTTTTTGTTGCTATTAACATGAACAAAACTAGCAACCTTCCTTTCTAAATGGTTCAACCTTGATGCTTCTTGAGAGACACAGTGCCATCTACTTTACCTACAGTGAAATCAGAACCCAGTAAAGCAACAGTGGATCATCTTTATTAAACAATTAACTATGCACTGGCTTTGAACACTGCCTTAGGTTTAATAAAATCAGTGACTTCAAATGATAGGTCCATACTCAAATCACAGAGGAAAAAATACACGTGCTAAAAAATAACCTAATAAACACAACACTTGTACTTCTGTCCTTACACAGAGAGACTATTACCAACCACTTATTAGTAGAAGAGGAACCCTGAAAGGTTTCCTCCCTCCTTCCTGACCCCCCTCTCCCAAGCTGATACATCAATTCACTCACACGGTCTTCCCTATGACCAAAGGCAAATGTTTGCAAAGTAACTACCTATAGTTTAGAAGGCAGACAGTAAACACTGAATAGAGGGTTGGGTTTGTTGCTCGCGTCCAGCTCAGTAGCTGTGAGAGTCTTAAACTCTCCCTCCCCAGGAATGCTAAGGCCAGCTTAGTTACTGATACCCTGAGCCGAGCAGTGAGAGGCAGGGAGACAAGATGGTGAAGCTCCATTTATTCAATGCACAGGACACCGTTTTATATCTTTTGACTCATGGGAACATACCCCAATGTAACAGCGGACAAAGCAACAAAGTTTACATATCTTTACCAATAGGCAACACCGAGAATTTTTCTCATGCGAATACCAATCAAAAGTATCAACAAGTACATTTCTTTGCAACATTATCCTGGCTGTGTCCTTCTCCCGTGCTGTTCCCATAGAAACACCATGTACTTCTTGTTCCCGGAATGTCCCAATACTTGATACACAAAATAGTAATACTTGATACATATTTGTGCTAGAGCTGACTGTGCTTGAGCTAGCAACATTGTTTTATAGTTTGAGCTCACCTAGCATCAGAGTTTTGCTGACTGGGAGGTGCAAGGTCTGTGGATGGAGAACCGAGCCAGGATATTCTGCTCATGTACTAATACCCGAGAGGGGACTTCGCCAATCAGTGAAGTCTTATGAACAGCCTGTGGTCCTCAACGTCCTACAGATCCCTAACATGGGTTGGGTTGGGTTTTCCTGTATAAATGCTAACTTTCCAAAAAAACACAAATAGAAGTTAAGCAAGGATTCCACTGTCACTGCTGCTATTTGATATAACACTAGAAGTTCTGGCTATAGTGATGAGAAAAAGAAATTCAGGTAGTAAGCACTGGCAAAGAAGAAACTAAATTACCTCTTTCTGAAATATGATGATCTACTTAGAGAACCCTAGAGAATTAACTAAAATTGATTAAAACAATCAATAATTTCAACATAGTTGTAGGACATAAAATAAATCCACATAAGTCATCTGCATTTCTATATATTACCAAAATGAGCCAGAAGGAAAAGACAGAAGGGGCAATTCTATTTAAAATTAACTACAGAATGCATAAAATACTTGGGAATCCACATGCCAAGATACAAATAAGAACTCTATGAATACTCTTTACAGAAATAAAGATGCACCTAAATAACTGGATAAATATTAATTGCTCATGGGTAGATTAAGTGAACATAATAAAAATAGCAATGCCACCAAAATTACTGCATTTATTCAATGCCATAACCAATCACACTACTGAAAGATTAGTTTCAAGTCTAGGAAAAACAGTAACAAAATCCATCCAGAGGAATAAAAAGTCAAGAAACTAAAGGGAAATAATGAAAAAATGGGAAAGAAGAGGGAGAGCAGTAACAGCTCTCAACTATACTACAAAGCAACAATCATCAAAACAATTTGGTACTAGGTACGAAAAGAGAAGCTGATCAGTGGAGAAGACTAGGTATATAATATGCAGAAGGAAAGGAATCTACTAGCCCTACTGCTGAGTAAAAAACTCAACTGAAAATGGAGTTTGGAAGAAACTAGGTACAGATGAACATTTCATGCCATTTCCTAAGATAAGCTCCAAATAGGTATAAGACTTAGGCATAAAGGGTAACATTGTAAGCAAGTTAGAGAAGGAAGAAAATATCTTTTTAATGGATATGGGAAAGATATGGCTATGGATCAGGGAAAAAGTTCATGATCAAACAAGGGGTAAGAAGACCATAGAAGATAAAACAGACAATTTCAATTACATAAATTTAAGTTTTTGCACAAACAAAACTAATACAGCTAAAATTAGGAGGAATATAGGCAAAAGTAACATCTTTGCAGCAAGTTTCTTCAATAAAGGTCCCATTTAGAAGATAAATAAGGAAATGATTCAAATTTATAAGAGTAAGAATATGAAAAGGAAAAAGAATATTAAAAGGAAGAAATCTAAGCTATCAAGAGCCATATTTTAATATGCTCCAAATCACTAATATTTAGAGAAATAGAAATAAAGCAACTCTGAGGTTCAACTCAACAGATTAGCAAATTGGAAGAAAATTAAAAAAGGAAAATGACAAATGTTGGAGGTGCAGCAGAAAAAAGGCAAACTGATACACAAGTGGTAGAGCTGGGAATTGGTA